TATTGTTCGGGACGAACAATACTAAGGAAGGGGCAGTGTTACGACAGCGGAAGTCACGAGATGCTGAGAGCGTGCATGCTGGAGTTTCTGGAAGGATCATGAACTTTCCTGGCAACTCTAGTTTGTTCGAGGCACCCTCTTTTTTAGTATAAAAGCCTGGCGAGAAAAACCAGCACAACTGCATAGAGAGATAGATAATTGAGTCAAGCGAACAGCAGGCACCATAAGTAAAGGGGTGTGAATCACTGCAATTTATAGCGTGTGTTATAAAGGTTGTTCAGTTTAAAGTGACTGTGGAAATTCTATGTATTACAAAGTTGTATCGAGAAAGAATAAACTAGTTTTAATTAAGAAAGGGCTTGTATCACTGAAGTTCCTCAGAAAGAATTCATACTGGAAATTAACAAACAAGCAGATATGTAACAATTAGTTAAAATCTCATTGAAATGATGACTGAGGGGCCAGTGTGAAGAAATAAATTTTAAAACTGGGTTCTTTCTGAGAATGTTGCAACAGAAAGGGAAAAACTTATGAATATCTCCCACGATGAAATAGGTGGGAACCTAGTGGGAGCAGCACACTGTGAGAGATTGCACCCATCTCTAACAAGTAAGACTCTTTGCCCATATTAGTGGTTGTTAAGAAATGTTATTTAAAAAGAACTTTCTGCTAAAGTGTTGCAAAGACATGAGGAATATGAAGGCTGCTCAACTGCCATGAATATTCTAGAGTTGGTAAGCCACCAATGTTAAGTGTGGCTAGAGCATTAAGTCAAGCCGTACAGCTCCTTAGAATTAGTTTAGTAAAATCTATATAATAAGATTCAGTGTCTGTGTGTCACTTTCTCTTTCTAAACTGCTGGTTGCAATGACTTCTAAATGATACCAAATGACTGATCTTGGTCCCAAAGTTTCACAAAAGTAAAACTTTTCTGTTTATTTAATCAACAATTAAATATCAAAAAGACTGAGTGTTAACACACTTTGAATAGTAACCGTTATTTAAGGATGTGTTGCTTAAGTCTGCTTCATTCTTTTAATTGACCACAATACAGATTACTCTTGCAATGAAAGCTTACTCTATGTAACTATAAGTGTATAGCAACAAATACATGAACATAAATATGATTTTCCATTTATTTAAAATATAAAAACATGATTACTGGTCTACATAAAACTTTTCAACTGCATGTGAATGTTTTATTTCATTTATATGAATTACATGTAAAATGTTTTCAATCAAACATAAGCTAGTAGTTAAGGTAACATAATCAGTAAATTATACAAAGTAGTACTATTGAAAGTTTGAATTATTTTGCATAATTTAAAGGTTTTGGTGTCCAATTTCCAAAGTTAACTAGCAATTTATAAAGTTTGGTAGGTAAAATTATGTCAGACTCTACACTTGTGTTCTTCACTTTCATATCACAGTTGTATTTATACATATAAAAGCTATATTCATCCAATGGCTAAATTTATCTAGTATCTATACAAATAAACAGTAATTTACCTGCATACAATGAATAGCAAGACCTGGTCCAGTGTAGAGTTTCTTATGACAGATGTGACATTTGAAGTGTTTGGCTTTCTGATGCTGGATCAAAATTTTCTCATCATCAAATTCTCTACCACAGTACCTTACTCGAGTTAAAACATAACTGTTTAGAGAGAATCAGTTTTACTCTAAATTACTCATTTAATCTAATTAAAACATTACGTGCAATGTTTTTTTAGTACTAGCCACTAACTACTTTTAAACCTACCTTTCGACTAGTAATCTACTGCCATCTCAAGTGAAATCCTAAGAAGGACTATTTCAAATGTGATGATAGTGTTTAGGATTCAATTCTAGGTATACTTGATAAAGAGGTTTGTGTGTTATCCATCAGTCTTTCACTTCAGAACTTCAACTAATTTAAATGTTTTCAAGAGAGGTACCAAGGTTTTGTTGATATTGTTACCACAGCGGAAGTCACGTGCCGCTGGTAACACGTCATGAGATTCTCGAAGGATCTTGATTTTTCCTGGCAACTCTAGTCTTTTTTACGCACCTTTTATTTTTGTATATAAGCCCGGCAAATAATTGCAGATAGAGATATAGAGACATATAATTGAGTCAAGCGAACGGTAGTGACAGTAAGTAAAGTGCGTGAATCATTGTGAATTATATCGTGTGTTTAAGTTAAAGTGACTGTGGAAATTCTGTGTATTGCAAAGTTGTATTGAGATAGAATAAACTAGTTTTATTTAAGAAAGGACTTGTATCGCTGAAGTTTCTCGGGAAGAATTTATACCAGAAATTAACAAACGAGCAGAGATATAACAATATATTGGTTTAGTATTTTATCAGTTAATTGGATATCTTTTATCTTTCTTTTTCCTATATTTAGTTCATATCCCATTATTTTAGTATTATTCAAATCCAAATATGTTTGTTGTTTCAATTCCTGATGGGGGAGCCCCATATGAGGGAAAAACAAATGAACCTTCATATTGACTGACCACTACCAACACAGAAAGATTCCATCTCAGGACTACCCTGATGACAGAAGCAGATTAACAGCTGAAACATAGGATAATACTAATTAATAACTAATATCTTATGCAATATTAACACTTTATGGAATATAGAGACTTGAATCCTATGATACAGATATGATGGAGAACTGTACAGTATTGAACCCTAAAACAGGCTAGTTTCAAGAAACAAACATTGAGATTTCACCCAAACAAAAATATTGATGGGATTCAGCTATCATTGTCAAACTAACAAATATACGAAACATCATTAAAATTCTTCACATTCAGATTCACCATCCAACTTGGAAACCTGAATAGTAGCTCTTTCATCATACAGTTTTAACCCTTTGCTCCTCAGCATTAAAAACAAGGTTTACACTAGATCTTTCCTAGTTAGGATTTCTACATACACCTAATAGAGATTTCGATGACGAGGAACCCACTTTGATGCAGCTCGAATGGGTAATGAAGAAAAACTTTAATACAAGTTTAACATAACAGCAAATGTACATCGTTTCGACGAGGGTTTGTCATCATCATATATACAGTATGGAACAAAGAGGTCACATGACCAGATACTGTTGAAAGATTTAGAACATATATCTTGGCTTCCCAGGGTGTTGGTTTAGAGTAGTGATGTTTTGTTCAATTAAAATGGATTCCTTGTTTTTCGTTTGTTTATGTTGGGTTCTTTGTTTAAAATGACTGTGTTTTTAATAGATATACTATGGGTTTTTGAGTTGCAATGGTGAAAAACATGGGACAGTTTTTATTGTGTTCTATCAATCTGGTTTCCAATTTTCTTCCTGTTTCTCCGATGTAGAATTCTTGGCAGTTATTGCATGTTATTTTGTAAATGATGTTGGTATTGTGTGATTCTAAATAATTTTTGTTTAGTAATGATTTTAATTTAAGGCTGGATCTTTGAGAGTTTGATGTTGACAGGAATATTTTGTTTAATGGCTAGTTTTGTCCAAGTGTAAATAATTCTTAAGCTGGTTTCAGGAACAAAAGTTAAAATCTAATAATTTTGAGGTTAAGAAAATATAACTGTTTAACATTTTCATGTTCTATGGTAAATTTGATGTTGGGATGAATGGAATTTATGTGTTCAAAGAAAGTTACTGTGTGTTCTGTAGAAGTGAAACTAGCAAAAGTGTCATCGACATATCTGTACCAGTATAGTGGGGGATGAAGCACAGAATGTATGGCTTGTGTTTCGATCTGGGTCATAAATATATTGGCAAGAATGGGTAAAACAGGATTGACCATACTTAAATCCATCTATTTGAAGGAAATGTTCATTGTTGAAAATGAAGTTGGTTTTAGTTGTTGTAAATTCTAAGAAAGAGAAGCAAAAAGTGTGCTGGGGATGTGCATTAACTTGTTGGGGTCATTAATGTAGAGGTCGAGTGCAATATTGCAAGCTTCAATGGCGGGGACTTCGGTGAAGAGTGACACGACATCAAACTAGCCATTAAGGCTTTCGAATTTAGTCGTTCTAGTGTATATTTGAAATTAAAGGTATCTTTAAAAAATGAACCTGTAGATGTTACATATGGTGTGAGAGCCCAGGCTATGTATTTGCCAAGATTGTAGCTGAATGAATCATAAGTGGACAGTATAGGTCGTAGGGGACAGTCCTGTTTGTGTGGTTTAGGAATGCCATAGAGTTGTGGTGTGCATGAGTAGATAAAAATAAAGATTGTCAGTAATTAAATAATATTTTTTCATTTATAATAAAGTTCTGTTTAGTTATTTTTCGTGTGTGTTTGTTGGGTTGTTTGGG